CATACACATACACATACACATACACATACACATATACATATACATATACATATGCATAAACACATACATATACATATACATATACATATACACATACGTATACATATACATACACATACACATACACATATATATACACTCACATACACATACATATGCATATATGTATACATATACATATACATATACATATACATACACATATACATATACATATACATATACATATGCATACATGCATACATACATATACATACATAGATATACAAACATACATGCATGCATATAAACATATATGTATACATGTATACACATATATATATATATGCATGTGTAGTTATATATATATATATATGTATATGTATATAAGAGGGAGAGAGAGAGAGAGAGAGAGAGAGAGAAAAAAAAGAAGAAACAAACAAAAGAGCGTGATCCACCGCGGCTCTACTATGGAAAATTGCCGCCCTTTTCCTCCGGAGCCCGAGGGTCCCCCCCCTCCGAAAATCCCCCTCCCCCGTGCTGGACCCCCCCCTCCCCCCCCTCCCCTGGCCCCACCCCCCCCCCTCCCCTAACCCCCACCCCCCCCGAAAAGCCGGGGGGGGGTCACTACCGGTTCGAACCCCCCCCCCCTCGAAAACCGGAGGGGGGTCACTACCGGTTCGAACCCCTCCCCACCCACCCTCCTCACCGCCAGCAAACGACTCCCAGTCCCTACCACCGTCCTTCCTCACCACATCCCCCACTGTTGTTCCCAGCACCACTGTCCTCACCACCACTGTCCCCACTGGTTCCACCACCGCCCCTACTGTCCCCACCAGTGCCACCACCACTGTCGCACTGTCCCCACTGTCCCCACCACTGTTCCCACCACGGTTCCACTCTCCCAACTTTCTCCACGGCCCCAACCACTGCCCGACTATCCCCACTGTCCCCACTGTCCCACTGACTCCTCCGCTGTGCCACTGAGCTGTCCCACTGTTCCCACCACTGTCCCCACTGTCCCCACCACTGTCCCCACTGTACCTCTGTCCCATTGTCCCACCGCCGTCCTCGCCACCGCCTTCACCACTGTCCCCACCACCACTGTACCCTCCACTGTCCTACTGTTTCCACCACGTTCCCACTGTCCCCACACCACTGTCCCCACCACCACCGTCCCCACCACTGTCCCACTGTCCCCAGTGTTCCCACCATTGTCCTCACCATTGTCCCCACCACTACCGTCCCCACCATTGTCCCACTGTCCCCTCCACTGTCCCGCTGTCCCCTCACCACTGTCCCCACCACCACCGTCCCCACCACTGTCCGCACCCCCCTTTGGTTTTCGAGGGGTGGGGCGGGGTTCGAACCGGTAGTGACCCCCCCCGGTTTTTGAGTTCGAGGGGGGGGGTTCGAACCGGTAGTGACCCCCCCCCCCTTTTCATGATGAGCTGGGGGGGAGAGGGGTTCGAACCGGTAGTGACCCCCTCGGTTTTCTGGAAAGGGGGGGGGAGGGGTTCGAACCGGTAGTGCCCCCCCCCGGTTTTCCGCAAGCAGCGGTAGAACACGCTCTTTCATATATATATATATATACATATAGACACATACATGCAAACATACAGACACACATACATACGTACACGCATTGTGAAACCCATGATGATCAATATTTGTGGTACAATCTACGTGGCGCAGCCAGGCGATGCCACACACACACACATCTATATATATATATATACATACATACATAGATGTGGTACAACTTTTGTGGTGCGATCAGTGTTGTGCCATCGATGTTCTGCAATTTATGCTGTGCGATCTATGTTGTGCAGACTATGGTGGGCAACTTGCATTGACCAATGTATGCGATCAAATTTGCCCGATTGTCTAGCCCTGGCAAACAATCAAAAGACTGCGTGCACAAAACGGCACATTAGTACGGGAAAAAAGTTGGCCGCCGTTATGGCAGTACTCCTTCACAACGGCTTCCCACTCACTTTGTGGCTGGTGGCTCAGCAGTGTGTTGAGCCTCTCTTCATTGCCAGCAGCTGCAAGCGCATGGTTGAAAACACACTTCGCCCAACTAATTTTGGGTCAGCCGCGGCGCCTTTGGCCCGCCGGCTCTCTAAGCTGAAATGACAAACACTCGGGGTCTAAAACGCTTTGCCTCACTATGTCGGGGGGTCCAACTTTATCTGTCACGAAGGGGTCGACGCCAATGCGCCCGCTAAGGTGCAGTGTAGAGCGTATGCGGAATTCCACTGCGTGAGTGTTACTCGACAGCCCTTCGATTACTTTTCTTCAGAAGGACAGATGGCGCCGACACGGGCCAAGAGGTCTCGAGAGGCCACCCAAGACGGTCCCATAGGGCCACGAGTCGGCCCGGGAGCGCTCAAAGCCGACCCCATGCCCCAACCCCCACCCCCGCGCATGCGCGTTCCGAAAGTCGTCCCCCTCTCTGGGTTCGGATCGGGAAAAACATTTTGTTTGGAGAGGCTCTGGCAGAGGATAGGCTCTGGCCAATGGGGGAACAAACGCCCCGAAACACCCGAGATAACGACACACACACACACACACACACACACACACACACACACAACAACAACAAGCACGCCCCAAATCATCTCAACCGTCAAAACAAACAAAAACACCTCAAGACAACCACGCTTGCGCAAATACGACCCAAAAATCGCCTCCAAGGCGGTCCCAAGACTGCCCAAGAAAGTCTCAAGACGCTCCAAAAGTGCCCCAAGATGGCCCAACGGTCCCTGAAGACGGTCCAAGAGGCCCCCAAGACGGCACAGGAGTCCCGGAAAGCTCCAAGAGGGCAAACTCGCACTGGCCTTTCGAGACTGTCCTTCCAAGGCTGCCTCCAAGACATGCCCCCAAGAGGCTCCCTGGAGGACCCAGAGGCCCCCAAGACGCCCCCGAAAGGGCACTACGAGAAGGCCTCAAGCGGCCTCCAAAAAGCCCCCAGCAATCCCCAACAGACCCCTAAGACGGCAAAAGACTTCGAAGAGGCCCTGAACACGCTGCGGACAAGGAGGGCTCGTTCAAGCCCCGCTCCAGTGCAGCGTCCTGTCTGACCTGGGGCGGGTCTTGGAGTAGATCTCATTTCTGCTGCGCTGCTGCACTGGCAAGGTGGCAGAGCTTGCCGCAAGCAGCTGGATAAACAACCTTCCATCAAGGTGAGTCGAATACAAGGCCAGGCTTGAATAAGGAACACTTGCTTTTCAAAAAAGCTCGGCCGTTCCTTTGGTTTGCATGCGTTCCGTTACCTTTTTGGCGGCGAGCCCCCTGGTGTTCCTTCGGACTTCCTCGACTTGCTTGGGAACTTGTTTATCGTTCCTTGGGTCAGACCGAACAATGTACTCGGCAGCAGTGCCTGGGGGAACACAAAAACAAGCCTGCTTTCTCGGAGGTCCGCGTGCATTGCTCCATCCTGGATCGCCGCTGGCCCCCCCCCCCTGGCGCGCGGAGCGCGCCAGGGAGGCCTCAGCGCCGATCCAAGAAAATCCACGCGGACCTCCGAGAAGTTATGATTATATACACACACACATATATATATATATATATATATATATACATATATAGTTTGGTGTTTTTCGGGCGTTGGGAACGTCACGCCTGGGAGCGCCTGCTAGCGCTTGGGGGCGCCTGGGAACGCGCCTAGCGGCGCCTGGGGGCGCCTGGGTCACTTTGCTTCGCGATCGGTCCTGTCCCAGCCCAGCCCCTCGGTGTCTCTCGGTTTTCCCTCCTCCTCCTCCTCCTCCTCCTCCTCCTCCTCCTTCCTTCGTCCCAGCCCCGTCCTTCGCCCCTCCCTCGGTTTCCCTCTTGCGGCGCCTTGTCGTCGCAGGTGTCCATGGAGAACGCCTTGACGCCCAGCGGGACGATCTGCGCGGGGCGGGCCGTCCACGCCCCGTGGGCACCTCCATGGCCTCCGCCCCCCCCCCTTTCACCGAGGGGACGATGGGCGGGAGGAAGGGGGGGGAGGAGGAGGAGGAGGAGGAGGAGGAGGAGGAGGAGGAGGAGGAGGAGGAGGAGGACGAAGAAAGGAGGAGGAGGAGGAGGAGGAGGAAGAGGAGAAGGCGAGAGGATCGGGGAGCACCGCTGGGGAGTATAGCAGTCGAGCGAGTAACTGGGAAGCGCACGCACCCCGAATATCTCGCGGCCGAGTTTGGCCGCACGGCCCCATCCCGCGCCATACGCAACACGCCCTGGTCCTTCGGCCCTTGCAAGGGCCAACTTGCGGTCGGGTATCTCCCACTCCACGGTGACGGCCAGGTGCCCCAGCCCTGCAATATTCGGGTTAAGGGAACTAAGGTTGGCCTGACGGGGCCTTCAAGAAAATGACGAGACCCAAACTTTTGACGCGAACCTCCCCCTACGAACATCGCACGAGCACTGGACTCTCAAAATCCAGAACTGGCCCGTCAAAAAGCGTAGGCAAACCAGAGTTCTGGCGACATCGAGTCTTACGCTCCCCCAAAAGGAGGATACCCCCCCCTTTCCCTGCCCCCCCCCCTTGCCTTCCCTACACCCCTCCCTTCCCCACCGATACCCCTTGCTTGGAGGGTGAGGTTGTGGGTCAACCAGCCGATCGATCAACACATGACTGACGGCGAGGTGTCTGTCAGCATGGCTCGGTGCGATCGCATGAACACCATCTGGGGCTCAGGCCAGCGCTTGCTGGACTGACTGAGCACGGATTTCGAGCAGAGCAGGCGACTTCGGTGGCAACTCGTGGAAGCCTTCCACACCATCTTGTTGGATCTCGCGAATCGGCGCTACTCGACGCTAGTGGATGCTAAAATGACGCTACTCGACGCTACATCGGCGCTCTACCATCGATTACCAGGCGCTAGCGCACGCGAGTGCACTCTAGAGAGGGACTTAGGACCACATACCAAGCTCCCATGATTTGCTAATTGACCCTGCACCCCTTCCGACTGATGCTGCGCCCCGATCGAACTTCTGCCCATCCTCCCTCGTCGACGCCAAAGGCGGGCCGCGGCCAGGGCGTCCTGCGTCGGGGCGCCCGGCCGGCGCGCGTCCCAGCAACGCAGCGAGCGGTCCCAGCTGGAAGTCATGACCTCACCGGGGGGGGGGGAGAAGGCGGCCGAGGGGACGGAGGAGGAGGAGGAGGAGCAGGAGGAGGAGGAGGAGGACGAGGAGGAGCAGCTCCAAGGTGCCTTGACGAAGCTCAGGACCAAGCTCTCAGAGATTTCCGCTTGGACCTCGCGGAGGTGGCCCTGGGGACCGAGTTGGATGTTCAATGCAGTGTCCCTGTGCTCCCGAGCCCGCAGCAAGTCACCTTTTCGTTAGCTATGATTGCGGCTTCAGCACTGAGTCAGAGCGAATTCTCAGAGTGCGCAGGGGGAAAAACCACAAGACGTGGGACCAACCTGAGTCTTGACCAACTTGGCCGAAGCGGACCCCAGAGGGTCTCATCGAGGCCCAATGCAAGGGAAGCAAGCCCAGATGGACGACAGAGCTAAGGTTAGGTCGGGCATGTCCCCCTACAGGGCGATTTGGGACGAAAAATAAAACATACCAAACAAATACAACACAAATACCCAACAATGGGAAATACCCAACAATGGGCAACACATCGTCTCCAGACTATGTTTTGACTATTTTCAATATTCCCCCTGTAGAGGGACAGGCCCGACTGAAAGCTGAGGGGCATCATGTCAATCGCGTAGATTTTCCTGCCCGGAGAGTCTACGGTCGCAATGTCTGCCATGGGCAGCTCGCCCCGCCGCCGCAAGATATACGCCCTGCCACTGTCACGGTCGACAGGATCACTGCACTGCACCGAAAGTTGCCGTGGAACAACCAGATAAATTCTCATGCGACCCGCTTCCTTCAATGAAGGAAAAAAGCAACTTATGTTTGCATATCTTCCGTGGGCACCGCAGACCCCAGGACCTGCAGGATGTTCTCGATCAACAATGTGACAGCAGAGGGCTCAGGGTCACCGTTTTCTCACTCAATCTCGCTAAGGACGACATGTCTGGTTCGCCTGAAGCTGTTGAATCGTGGATGGGGGTTACTCAGGCACGGACACATCTATGGGATCATGGCGGGCCCATCTCGCGAAACCCGGTCCGCCGCCAAGTTCAATGCCTGCCCGGATGTCATTAATCCCCCCCCGAGCCGTCAGAAGCCTGACCCGACCGTGGGGATCAAATAACCAGTGCCAGGGAAAGGAGTCAGCTCAACGTAGGCAACGCTCTGCTTAGAACGCCCGTTCTCTGCTTTTATGAATGCGTGCTTGCCAGAAGAATTACCCATGGTGTTGGAGCATCCGGCCACGAGCCACAGATCCAACGCCCCAGCCATTCGCCTCATTCCTGAGATCACTCGGCTGCTCTCGCATGCGTACGTCAGGAAGGCGGAGGACGTTCACCAGTGCCGTTTCGGGCCTCAAGCACTGACACCTACATAGGCTTTGTGTGCATGACCCAGCCGTGCAGACTGTCACTAATTCACACTATGGAGGAGGTAATTGTGCCGAGGATCATCAGCACCTTACGTTGCAGGGGGTCTAAGACAACGGCGAGTGTGGACCACTCCATATGCTAAAGCATACCCTCCAAAGCTGTGTCGCATGCGTACGTCTTCGTTTGCTTGCGAGATCGGGGCCAAATATCCTAAAGTTTAGGGCAAATGGGCTCTTGCGAGCCTCCTCATGCCCTCAAATACAATACTTCCACGCGCCCGTCGATCCCTACTCAGCGTTCATTGATGTCTTCAGGGTTGTGCGTGTGTGAGGAGGAGGAGCAGGAGGAGGAGGAGGAGGACTCCCGCTCCTTCGCTGCTTTAGGATGGGATGGGGGCGGGGTGGGTGGGAGGAACGGGCCTCGGGGGGGATCGGGTGGTTGCTGCTGCTGATCCTCTCCTCCGTGCCGCTGGTAGGCCGCGGGTGCGGGCAGCAGCAGGAGGAGGGGGAGGAGGGGGAGGAGGGGGAGGAGGAGGAGGAGGAGGAGGAGGAGGAGGAGGAGGAGGAGGAGGAGAAGGAGGAGGGGGGAGAGCAGAGGGAGGAGGAGGAGGAGGAGGAGGAGGAGGAGGAGGAGGAGGAGGAGGAGGAGGACTGCGTTGCGCCTCGATGCATGCGGGTCCAACTGCCCGCGGAGCAGAAGGAACATCACCTGATATCCCTTCTCCCCGAGCGGGGACCCCAGGCCCCACGTGAAGCCGGGTACCATCCCGAAGAGGTCCCCAAGCGCTCCCAAGAGTTGAACGACGGCCGAAGATTAAAGGGGTCCAGGGACACCCAAATAAATACACACAAATCCCAGAATGCCCCATATTTCCAAATATTTGTCTGGGTTTTCGTCTTCCCCCCCACTTCCCATATTTTCCCATATTTCCCGGGGAATCGACGATTACTTGTGTCTGTATGTTTTTCCCCCTCCTGAAAGATGGCCCAAAGGCGGCCCAAACAGACCCTAGAGGGCCTCGGAGAGAGTGAACAGGACCCCAAGATGACCCCCAAAGGGATTTCCAGCAGTCCAGCCGAAGCATGCCAGCACGGCAGACCCTGAATAGCACGCACCCCCGAAACCTCCAGGGGAGCCACCGACCAGCACCGCAATTACAGAAGCCTTGCGCCGGCCACGGCGCGTGAGGAATAGTGAAAAAGTGCACGGAAGCGGATGCCTTCAGCACGCTGCCCATGCCTTGACCGCCTGCTCCCACCTGCGAGCGGCACCGCCCTCGGCGAAGGTGGTCAGCGATTCGCTCATGGGAGACTGAAGCATTCTCGCAATTCTTTAGCACCAATGGCGCCAAAGAGTGCCTCGGGCGGCCTTCTCGTTTTCACACGGAGACTTTTGAGAATCTGGCGAAGCGAGGGTGATCTCTGGCACTGCCTTTTCCAAGCCGCCGTAAGTCTGGGTCCTCCAAGGATGGCCAGGAGGCCCGCGCGCTCCGCCGCGGACGCGCCGACACGGGTCAGCATTAGCCCAGGCCAGCGCAGGGAGGGAAGGGGGTCAGCTCCACATGGCTCCCAAACCTCATGTAGCCTCGTCTCTACCAGGGGGGTGCAGTGACCGAAACTGTGCCCAACGATCTGCCCGGGTGTGACCGAAATTTGCGCACGATGGTTTTCCGAATGCGTCTGAATGTGACCGAAAATGTTGGCTCGAAGCCATTGCGGCTTTCAGTTCCGGCTGCAAGTTCGGTCACGCTGCGTGTTCGGTCACAATCATGGGCGCGTTCTCGGGCACAGACCTTTTCGGCTGATGAGGGCCGGGCGCCATGGCGAATCAGGGTCAGCCAGAGGGGCTCGGCCGACCTGCGTTAGCGCCGGCCCACGTTACCCGCGCCCCGAAAGCACACGTCCGTCCTGCCCTCCCACGGCCCCCGCGGCACCTGCTGCGAGGCCTGGTGGAACTCCACGCACCGCACGGCCTCGGGCGCCGCCGTCGGCGGAGGACAGAGGGATGGGGAGGAGGAGGAGCAGAGGTAGCCTGAAGCGCGCCGATCCATCCGAAAAGAGGCCGCCGCACTGACTTGACAGGAGGCGGGCCTCGCCGCGATCGAAGGGGGGTCGTGCAGGTGCCCTCCGCTCCACGTGGCCCCTGGCTCCCAGATGCCCATGGAGGCTCTTGGAGACCCTCGGCGTCCCCTGGATGCCCTGTCAGGTACGCTGAAGAGGGGGCACGCTGGTGCAAGGTGGCCCGATGAATGTTCACGAGTTTTGCCATGCGGCGCGTTCAAAGAACAAAACATGCTACTGATCGAAATCCGCCAGCGTGCCGCTGGGCGCGGAGTGGGCGTGTCCTCAGGTCCTCGGCCCAATCCTCTAAGCCTCACTCTTGTCTTCAAGGGATCCAGACCCTAAATTCCGAAATCTCCTGGGACTTGTCGCGATTCCCCTGGCGTTCCTAGCGTCTTCTCGCGTGACTTTTTCTGGCCCGGCCCCCAAACGGGCCAAGAGGGCCCCAAGAAGCCCCCAAGACGGTCCAAGGAGGCCCCGAGTCGCCGAACGAGCACTCGAAGACGCTCAAGACGGCTCCCAGACGGCCCAAGAGGCTTCCAAGACGCCCAGGCCTCCAGGAGGCCTCATAAGAGAGCCCCAAATGGCCGAAAGTATGAATGTTCTTTTGTAAGTTGAAAGATTTGCGCGTTCTCGCCTTTCCGGCTTGCCGGCGCTCCCAGACGGCCTTGAACGCCCCCAAGACCGCCCCAAGACGGCCCAACAGGGCCCCAAAACTATCCAAAACGATCCAAGAGGGCCCCAAGACAGCCCAAGAGGCGCCCAAAACAGCCCAACAGGGCCCCATGGCAGCCCCAAACAGGTCCCTAAAGAGGGGCAGCGAACCGAAAATTCGAGCCTTCTGCCCCAAGAGGGCTCGAAAGAAACCCCAAAGGCCCTAAAGGTCCCCCAAGAGGCCGTCAAAAGACCCCAAGAACCCCTGAGAAACGGAAAGGAAACCCTAACGCATCCAAGCTGCCTTCAAAAGGCTCCCGAGAAGCTTCCCGCGAGATCCCAGCGAACGTCCAATACGCTTCATACCCACAGCCCAAGCACGGTGGCAGGATGGGCCAAAAGCCTTTACATCCGCCGCCCCCTGCTGATTTATCGCTAAGGTGCCTGGCGTGCTGAACCCTAAGGTTTTTGGTTCCTATCCCAAAAAACTCTCCCTGGGGCTTCGACCCAACGAGCCGGCCATTTGGAAACCCGCCGAAAGTGCGCGGGTCGCGGGTTCTCGGGCACTGCATGGCGCCCAAGACGGCCAGGAAGCAGCAGTAGAGAAGAAACCATCTGGGGGCGGCTGGCGGGGCGCAGAGAGGGAAACCATCATTTTCAGTACGCGATCGCAGTCAGTATGCCTTATCAACTAAGCACATCCTGGCGTCGACCCCTTGAGCCCGACAGGATTGCAAATACGCTCGCTCAATGCTCGCTCTATCAGCAGGCTCGGCGAAAGCTCCATTTAAACTGAAAGAAAACAACAAAAAACACACATCGCAACGACTCGGTTCAAGGCGTGACTCTGTGTTCAAATCTGTATCAACGAGCATTCTCTGCACGCCCATCGACGCAAGAGGCGAGGGTTGTTTTATCCGCCGAAAGCAGCTACCAGCCGCTTCGTCTACACTTTAGGCGTAGCCTGCTAGGGTGCGCAGGTTGTTGCCACGCGCGCGGTCTGCCAATATTATTCAGTTTGCCAATGGCTTGTCTAAAATAAGCGACCACCGATCGGCAACCCAACTGAAGCAACAACATGCGTTAACATTGGGCGACGCAAAGGCTGCGCGGCGCGAGCCTGCGGCAAAGTACAGAGCAGCAAACTGCGCAATAGATGAATGCCCCATGGCGGGCGTCAACTACGACAAAAACAATAGCTAAGGTTGCATGGTCGCCCATAACTGGGCACCCGTTGCCAGTCACAGGCCTACAAACCATGTTATCCACGGCAAGATCGAAAAGGGCAGGCTCTGTACTGCGCGCGTTCTGCATTGGTGCGATGTGTCACATGTCTTTCTACACCGTGCTTAAACAGCTGGTGCCCCGACGATTCTCCTGCCTTGCAGAATCTTAGAATCTCCCCCCTTCGCGATATGTAATTCGCAAATCATTCTGCACCATCGTCCACCTAAATTAAAATGTATGCAATCCCAGCCAGGCCGGCCTCGTCACCCCCCGCCATCCTCTGCAAACAGTGCGATGCGTGTGCTCTCGCGTATCAGGAAACCAGCAATTTTCAAACAACCCTTGCAAACCATGTGAAGAAGTGCACACGCGCGCGCGTCGTCGCCGCGCATGCCGGAATCCTTAAGCAATCTCAGGTGTCGCAAGGATCTCAACATCGAGTTCCAAGTCAACATAACAAACACGCATGGTCTTGCAACAAGAACTCTCGGCATCGAAGACAAACAATTTGCGCTCGCGCTCCTCCAAACTCTTTCATATAATGCTACCGGACGGGTGTCGCGCGCGCGTCGAAATCGCCCGGGCGGCCTTGCGCGCGCTGTCGCAAAGATCCTTTGCGCGGCAAGAAAAATCTGCCAGGCGGGTCTCTCGCGCCGCGTGTCGAGCTCACATTCGAACGCCCTCGCGCGCGTGCTGGCGGGGGGGGGGGCGGGGGGCGCGATCCGCGTCAAATGATGCCGCGTGGGCCGGCCGCGCGCGCGCGTCGAAATCCACCAAAAACCTGCGTCGCCGACGCGGAGGGGCGAGACCAACATCGGCGCCGTCATTGGCCTTGCTGTCGTCATCGCCACCTTCGTCGCCGTCGCTACTCCCGCAATCTCGCCCACCGCTGTCGGCGTCGCCATGGCGCCGCGCTTGCCCAAGTCAACGACTCGCACTGAAGTGCCCGCTAGGAAATGCCCAGCGGCCAGCGCCGCCGCGGCCGCGTCGGTCGCGCCAAACTATCTGGCTGCTGCGCGCGCGAGCACGCGCGGGCTAGCGCTGCCGCAGATGCGGCAGCCAACGCCGCGCACTTCTCGCAGTCGCCGCCGCGAGGGCTTGGCAAGCCAAGTTTCGGGTGGGTGGGTCGGGCGTTTGCATGGCGTGTGATTTGACAACTCGTTTGTAAACAAAAAACAATGCGACCACTAGTATGTCCGTCGCACATCGCACAGCTGAACGCAGTGTACAACCTTTCTCTTCATCATTTGTCCGATTCAACCAATATCTCCAAGTGAGGTGCAGCATGTAGGTCTTTTTCTTTCCTAGGTATTCACCGGAGAAGGCTCCCAGTGCAGATTCGGCATCGACTGGGAGAGATACTTTCGCGCATAGGCAACCCTTTCCCAATGCATCTCCCAAGCCTCTCGGGGGGCATAGTAGATCCCACTTTGAATTCGCGCAGCGTGACCATCGTCGGGTAGCATCGCTCGAGATTGCGCGCCGCAGCCAGCGTTTCCGCCGAGTAGCTCGATCGCACCTGCAGTCGATGCGACTTACAGCGTGCATCCACGAGGTGGATGACGGCTGCGCCGCTGTGCGTGGATACTCACTACGAATGTCTACCTCGTCCGTTGGTGTCGTAGCTTGGCGCGCAATTTTCTCCAGGCGCGACAGTCGCCTTCTGGCCGCCGCTCTCTGCCCGCGAACTTGGATGCCCCCAGGTTCTGGAACTCGTTGGAGTGAGACGGCGTAGACCATGTGCAACGAAAGCACCTGCCAATGCGCCCCTCAGGCGGATGAACATGTCTGTCATCGCCATGGTGGCTTTCTCGTCGGGTGCTGCTCCCGTAGGTTCGGGATGTTGGATAGCTCGCAACTGTTTGACATATTCATCTGGGTCCAAAGTGACGTCGCCGCTCGGGGGTCTGGAAGGGCGCGCGGCGCAGTCGGTATATGCATGCTTGTTCAGATGACATGCGCCAGCTGTCCTTTCTACGCCTTGCGCACATTTGTCGACGCGAGTCTCCACGCAGTGTCATGGGGGCGCGTGGAACGCCTAGCCTCTCCCTCTCTCCACTGGCTGCTGCCAGTTCCTCATAGGTTAGGCCTGTGAAGAAGGCCGTGTCAAGATCCAAAGATGCGAATGTCAAATATTGTTCGCGCTCTGCCGCGCTGTCTGAGACCTCCCGGTCAGCTCGTCGCACCACGCCCGAGAAGGTTTCGACGTCGAGAGCCGCGGCGCCCATGGGGCCTCGCAGCGCGAGTCTGAGGAGCAACGAGCGTTCCATCTCGCCTTTTACGTTCCTGGAGAGTTTCCATGCGTATACATATCTTGACGTAATGCCATGTGCAGCGCGCGCGGGTGGACACTTGCGGAAGCTGTCGCTGTCGTGCCAGACGCGCAGCTCAGTTCAGGAGGGCTTCTGATATCTTAGAAAAATTTCACTTGATCTCTCCTTCGTCCGTAGATCGTCTTCCTTTGCGGATGCAACGCGTTTGGATGCTACAATTGCGCGTGCCCTTATCGTGGCGATGCCCGCGTCGCGTAGTAGTTGATGCTGTTGTTCTGAGAGCACAGCCGCATCCATTGTGAAGTATAGTTCCACGCATTCACCACCGCACTCGAAACCCAACGCATCGCTGGCGACGCAACCGCATGACTGCACGGGAACACCGTAGGATCAGAACTCCTCCTCTGGCCTGTTGCCAGGCTCCTGAGGCAAACTACCTTACTCCTCAGACATGGTGGAGATCGGAATACATTCGTCTGGTGTCTTCTGCATAGGCTCAACGTATAGAGCTGACGCGTACTGACTGACAGAGAGCTCTTCGTGGTATAACGGCATGTCAGTTGTAAGCTCGGAGTGCCAAACACTCATGATGTGTACATCGAAGTCTTCCTCAAATTCCTCATGAACCGTGGAGGGTCGCCCTGCTTCTGGGCCAATCGCGGGAGTTCCGGGACTGTTCAACGGTGGTCAATCTCCCTGGTTGTCTCCCGATCCGCCATCGGCCATTTCTTGGAGCGTGGGCAAATCCAAGCCAAACC